CCAAAATCAGGGAAAATCCCTTCTCTGGGCTGGTGCCCAGCCTGCCCCGACCCCGGGTCGTGCCCTCTCCCCCCGTGCCCGCTGGTTTGACCCCCCCTCTCGCCCTGTTTTTGGCAGATATCGACGAGTGCTCTGCCCACATCGGGATCTGCGGCCCCGGCACCTGCTACAACACCCTGGGCAACTACACCTGCGTGTGCCCCCCCGAGTACATGCAGGTCAACGGAGGGAACAACTGCATGGGTACGGCAGGGGCTGGGCCATACTGGGCCATACTGGGCCATACTGGGACAGGGTGGCACTGCCCGGCCTGTGCCCAGGCCTGGCGCTGGGCTGGGGGCTGAGGGAGGGAGCACAAGGGCTGGGAGTGACCAGTGGGACCCACTGCCAGGGCTGGCAGGGCCCCTTCCCGGGGCTGGTAGAACCTCTTCCCAGGGCTGCCATTCCAAAGGCTGGCAGGACCCATTCCCAGGGGTGGTAGAGCTTCTTCCCAGGGCTGCCATTCCAAAGGTGGGAATGGCAGGACCCATTCCTGGGGTGGTAGAACCCATTCCCAGGGCTGGCAGGACCATCCCCAGGGCTGGTAGGGCCCATTCCAAAGCCTCACAGCTTCTGTTCCCAGGGCTGTCAGGACCTGTTCCCAGGGTTGGTAGAACCTCTTCCCAGGGCTGCCATTCCGAAGGTTGGAATGGCAGGATCCATTCCCAGGGGTGGTAGAACCCATTCCCAGGGTTGGTAGAACCTCTTCCCAGGGCTGCCATTCCAAAGGCTGGCAGGACCCATTCCCAGGGCTGGTAGCACCTCTTCCCAAGGCTGGTAGAATCCATTCCAAAGCTTGGCAGGTCCCATTCCTAGAGCTGGTAGAGCCCATTCCCAGGGCTGGCAGGACCCATTCCCAGGGCTGGCAGTGCCCATGCCAGGCTGGGAATGCTGCCTGTGCTGCCTCTGCAGACATGAGGAAGAGCGTGTGCTACCGCAACTACAACGACACGTGTGAGAACGAGCTCTCCTTCAACATGACCAAGAAGATGTGCTGCTGCTCCTACAACATTGGCAAGGCCTGGAACAAGCCCTGTGAGCCCTGTCCCACCCCTGCCAGCCGTAAGTCACCTCATTCCCTGCTGCCCCCTTGCTTTTCCAGGGATTCTGATGCCCAAAAGCCAGAAAATAACTCCCTAAAACTCTTTTTGGAAGCAAAAAGCACTCGTTTATTCCATGCTGGATGCACAGGAATGTTTTCCCAAGTGTGCATCCTGAGCTATATAGGAGTTAGATCTTTGTGCTGTCATCTAATTACGATATTTTTATAATACTTTATGCTTTCTATTGTCATTTAATTGCAATATTTGGACATCACCTCAGCTGTTACACCCACTTCCAAAACTGTCCCTCCCATAACACCACCCCTGACACACCTCCCAAATTTAACCCAGAGGTCTCAAAGACCCTTCTATCTTCTTATTCCTTGGTCTTTGGCACAGTATCATCCCTTCTGGAATGGTTTCAAGGCTCCTGGAGAGCTTTCCCTGGTTCTTGTCAGAGGTCGTGGGTCTTTCACAGGCAGAGAAACCCCCTTTCCTCCTTAAAATCCCTGTCTGTTGAAATCCTGAACAAAGAATGTTCAACAGCAGTTTCAGAAACCTTGTCCCAAGGCAATGGCAAGGTAAAGGTGCCAACAAGCTGGGCTAAAACTTAGATAATGTGGATTTTAAGGCTAAAATCCCGTGCACTTTGGGGCACAGCCACTGCCAAGGGGAGGGGGACAAGGAACAGCACCCTGTCTGGGTCACCCTGTGACTGTGCTGAGCCCCTCCTGCCTGGCACACCCTCAAATCCAGCCATGGCTGGGCCCTTTGTGCCCACTGGGCACAGCCCTGACCTTGGGGTTCCCATTCCAGCCGAGTACCAGATCCTGTGTGGAAACCAAGCCCCTGGATTTATCATCGACATCCACACGGGGAAGCCCATTGGTGAGTAAATAATCCTTCCCTTCCCCTTTCCCTTCCCACACCTTCCCAAACCTTCTCTTCTCAAACCT